CCTCCGATTTGCGGTTGCATACAAATGACTTTTCAGCTGTCGTCCCATATGGCAGTCGTCAGTCGTTCCGGTTCCTGTCTGTCTCCCTGTTTTCCCTCCTTCCCCTTTTTAATATGTTTGTGTGGTTTTTCCGACTTTTAGCTGCAAGCAAATATCCCCGAGCATTGCATTTAATGGAAACTTTTCAACGCCTTGTTGCTGTTTAATTTTTTTGGGCTTTTTTCTGGCGGGAGCTTAATTGTGTGTTGACATTAAATTTTGTTGCACAACTCGTTGCAAAGCTGTGGCCCATTGGCCTTAACCAAAGTTTTGTGGCAAAAAAAAACCGCATAAAAGGATGAGCACGAAATACGTGCCAGTATTTGGTAAAGTCTTTGCCACTGCAATCAGTTTTAGTTTATGTTGAGATGAATTTTGAGAGTTTTTAATCAAGTTAAAGTCATATTCTGGGTTTGTTAGTAAAGAATATTTGGAAAGTCGATGATTGCATATCAAGACTGCTGATTTGTACTACAGACTCTTTGAACTCTCTCTTTCTAAACTTATTTCCCCTCATTTCCATATTCCATTTAAAGTTCAAGCAAATGCATTTTCCTCATTTCCATTACATCTTGTACACTATTTTCTGTGTACAAGTTTATTAAAAAACCTCGCAATGGGTATAAATTAATTTCCAACTAATTAAATGTTGTCAGCAGGTTGTTCTGCTCCCATTTCAGAGAGAAACCTAAAAGAAGGCAAAATGCCAGAGAGAGGGCGAGAGAGTCGCAAATGCAAATAAGCAGCATTCTTTAATTTAATGAACGCAACATCCGACCCGGGACCACCTCATTAAGCGCTGACCTCCAAATGGCCATTTGTATGCTGCTCTGGAGCCCCGGTTGCAAGTCAATCTCATCATGGTGGCTGTGTTGGTGCTTTTTTGGGGCCTGTCTCATTTCCATGCAGACACAGGGAGGAGTCAGGCAATTAAATTTAAGCCGGGAGCAGTGGCATGCCTCTGCCTAGGGCCAGGGGCCAATCCTGAGTGAATTAATTGCTGCTGCAGACAAAATGCAAACAAGCAGAGACACAGAGGCTATAAAGTGAGGCCTATCCATCGAGTCTTGGCAGCCAACTACAAGTACCAGCCAGAGCCAGCCCCACCCGGTCCGGCCCAAAGGCGCTGGTTAGTTGAGCAATCGAGCTAAACTAAACCACAGTGGCACAAAGGCACGCACCACATAAAAGAGTGTGTGTGTGTGTGTGGGGCAGTGGCAGTGGCAGACATCCAACCTGCTCGTTCGGTCAGCCACACAGCTGGTCACCATGCCATGGAGGGTTTGCCAGGTGGAAACCATAAAAGAAAGCGCACACGGATAGTCGTACGATACTAAGACCAGGTGGTGTCTCTGCCAGTCAAAATGGTGTCAAATGGCAAAAATGCATCGTAAACTAAATGTAAATGAAAAACTTTACAAACAACTAAACGAGGGCCGCACCGAAAGTTGCACAAACAATGGAAGTTTGTTGAAAAATATACATTTAAGATAAGGGAAATTACTATTTGATAGCTGTGAAAAACTTTAGTGCAACATTTTAAATGAGGCAATATTAAATTTCATGATAGAAGTGAGAGTGCAACAGTGCTCACTGCTTAAGGATTGAATATTACCGGAACGTACATATATGTATATAACAAACTTTCCACACAGTCTTCAAACAAACCTTTTGGTTTGCAAAATTTTCTTTTGCTTCCCCTGGAATGCTTGTTTCTACTTCAAAGAAACCAAACCCCAGCACAAGCACACACACAGACGGTGCGCCATGTATGACCGCAAAACAAGGATCTGGGGGATCTGGGAGGCAATAACTATGCTTCTAAGGTGTCATTTTGCTTGTTTTGGCCCGCATAAAACTTGAAAGGTCCCTTTGGGTAGATTAAACACGCACACGAATACTCTTCAAATACTCACAGACAACCACACACACACACACACATAGGGCCTGCTATAAATATGTGTTCAGTGTGCGTGTGTGGGGCTTATACGGATTATGGTGCAGTGTAAACTGACGCTGGAAAGTATGCTATGAAAAATATTGCACTCATGCTCATATTTTCATACCATATCCCATAAATTTGTCATACACAAGAAAAGCATTCTTTAAGATTGTGGGGGAAGGTAAACAGAATCGTTGACTATTTATATAATAGGAAACACGACAAATTGGTGCATTGATCTAGGGTTTGAACAATTTTAAGTCGACATTATATCAGCTACACTACATAAACTCTTATTAATTGTTAATTTAATTATACGATAGTTATTTTGCAAAAGCAAGTACTGTATAAGTGGCAAAAGCTTCAACCGCCTATAAAAATGCACTTGGATTGAGAGTTTTTCCGCTCTTAAATCATATTAAACTCTTCAGAATTTAAAATTGTAATTAAAATATGTCAACCCTGCTCATTTCCATGTCTCTCTGGCCTGTCTGGCACTCTCTGTGGGATAGTTGAGATGCCACCAGGCTTATCAGCACTTCAACATCACTGAGCAGACACGTAGACCGACTACGGACTGCGTCTGCGGCTAAATGTCTCCCTGCAGTGGGATTGTCTCCTTTTTCTAGCATAAAAGTTGGAAAATGTTAAGTAAAATGTTTTCCCCACACAATTTAAACGAATGGCATAAATGTAGTTTCCGGCACATACATTTTTAATAGACCTACCAAAAGTAAAACCATATTTAAATATTTATGCCAGAGTGCAACCGCAATCAATTGGTGCCACCACGAAACATAAATCAGAGTGCGAAATATATGTATAATGTTATTTTTCTTCTGCTGTCACACCCCTCCATACACATAATAAATTCTTGAAGCTGCAGAAGAGATACGAGTACATTGGATGGCCAATAAATATAGTACCTAACAATGTGTGTGAGCCAGGTGTGGGAGCCAGACACGTGGCTCACTCGAGTACCCATCCAATACCTCAGCCAAAGACCTCCATCGAATAGCGTATAAGCCATTAGCATCATGCTCGATGGCGACGCCCCTGACATCAACTGCCAATTCATATGACAAACGATCCTCATAGTAGGCCTCACCTCTTGATAGACCTCTCCATAGACCGGCATGGTAGCACTCCTTCAGTCGAGGCTCGATTAAAGTGAGCTACCGGAACACGACAAACGACTAAATTATGCATGAAGTGCGTGCCGGGAGGAATATGGTATTAGGAGTGGTTGCGCCACTCTAACACCCTCTTTTAAAGATGGTTTAACCCGTTCCAAATAATCCTTATTTATTACCCAAGGAATTGATTTGTAATGAAGTTTTTAATTACTTGGTTTTACTATGGGGAGTTGAAGCGTTTGTCGATAACTGGAGTGTTTGCGTCTAGACGGAAGAAGAGGTTTTGGCAGCAATTGGGTTAATTGGTCAAGAGGTGATTGATTGAAGAACAAGAAATAATTAATGGGAAGTTTCTAATAGAGAGAGAGAGAGAGAGTGAGTGTTTCCATAATAAAACGACAATGTCTAAAGTTATGGTTAATTGGGTGCCGTAGGAGGTGGGTTATTATTTATTATTTAAGCCGTGAATTAAGGGACTTTTAATCATACAATTTAATACTCTAGCCTTGATAAGAAGTCCGCACTTGAAATAAGTGCGACTAAGAAAATAAACACTTGAATGCAATATTTACTTAAGCAAACATCTTTCACTGAGTCAGAATTGCCAACAAATCCTATGATTGCTAGAAATCTCTTTAAAAAATAAAATAAATAAATATTCAACACCAATAAAAACCTTGACAACCTCTTTAGATGATCAATCATTTAATGTGAGGATTTTTTTGGTACATTTAAAAGCTAACATGACCTTTGTTGATGGCTTCCAATTAGCTAAGCTTTTGCTATCTGTTTAAAAATTAAAATTAGAGAGAAAAAAGGAAACCAAATAGTAAATGAGTAATGTACTTTAGCTTTTGACATTGCGTGTTGAGAGCCAATTATTTTGCGCTCCCCAAAACACACAAAAAGTGGAACAGGAAACGACGAAGGAGACAACGAAAGTTAAGCTCACTGTAGATATACATTTCTTTGAAATTAAAAGGGTAAGAAACTCCACTCCAAGTGGAGGCATAATTAAATCGACTGCTGTCCTGACTGCTTCACTAGAATGTCCTGAAAATGTCTCACAGTCGCTTGCCTTGAAGGGCTTTCCGTGGAGTTTTCAACCCAATTTACAGCTAACATGCAAGTGTCTTAACGTCCTTTGGCTAAGAATCGATACGCGGTTGGCGTAGCCATAAAAACATTGGCTCTATGTACCAGTAATTGTTGTTGGTGCTAGTGGAAAAATTGGCTATTAATATGGATTTTCCTTTGTACTGGCAGTTGTCGCAATTATCAAATGGCTGCAGTTGCAATGGATAGAAAGTGGGAGGACATTTGGACTGTTTGCTGCATTGAAATGCGACACAAACCGCAGTTTGGCCGAGCGCCCGAAACCAGTTTGACTAACTGGCCAATTGGTTCGGTTCTGGCCGGAAGGGTTTGGGGTTCTCTCGGTTCTGACCACGGCAAATGAAAATTTTTCCATGTCAGGCATATGTGACTGTGGTGTGGCTTTTGGTTTCCATTGTTTGGTTGTCATGCCTGTGCTGGTCTTGTAATTATTTGTATGAATAGAGAAACCTCCATTAATGGCGGTGTATGCGGTATCGTGATGAATGATATAAAGAGAAGGAAACAGTCGACAGGATGTAGATAGTAAGTTTTGCGCAGATGTCATTAAAGCGCTGGGATTGAAATTATGTAAAGTAAAAGAACATTAAAATGGGTTTAGTTTTTAGTAATAGACGCTGCAGCAAAAAAAATTGCTTAAATCCTGCTTTTAAATGTTAAAATCGACCATTGTCACTGGCAAGGACACTCTTTAATAAAAATACGTGTATAAAACACACCATTTAAGGCCTGATTTAATCTGGTATATCCATTTCTTTTCTTTCCAGCAGCTCCACTCGGAGTATCGGAGCACTTATCGTTGGCATGAATTTACGGGCAATTCGCGGCCAGAGGTTGTGCGACGGGCGCCAGCCCCAAATCAAAGTCAATTTGATGGTGTGTATATTGAAAGAGATTTCTCTTGGAGCACATGTCACACAGTCTTGTTTATGGATCTCTTGCTTATTGGCTTTCCTTGGATTTTTCTGCCATTGCAGGTCCGACAAATGAGCCGTCAATGCCGCGTCGGAAAAAATGTCCAGAATTAGCATATAAATCGCACGAGTTTATTATAGGTTCGGAATATACAGATGCACGACGAGATCCCAGTGCACATCGTCTGGCGAGGGTAAGTGTCTCATCCCTTAATCCATATTTCACTCGACTCGCAGAGCCTCCACTTCACCTTGCCATGACCTTTTTCATACGGAAAATGCGCCAGGTGCAAGATATATTTATACTCAGAGAGGCACACTAAGAGACAGAGGATGACTCGTTGGGCTTGCAATCCAGGCAGAGATTATGTATGAGGAGTGGATTGGCAGGGAAAATCTTTGGGAATCGTTCATATTTATTATGTGGAGAAATTCGAATAAAATAAGGTTGTCAATACGGAAGAAGAAAATCGAAGGTATTTCCAGGCATAAGATAGAGGAGAAAGCCAAATATTCAACTTTTTCCATTTATTATTCCAGTTCCAGCTCCAGTTATATTGTCACAATTCTCTTTATTAGTATTAACAACCTAACCTTATGGGATCCCAGATATTTCCTCACGCTTAATTTTCCTAATGCAATCACGTAATATTCTTTTAAATTCAAATCCTAATGGGAATACCCGTAGACGAAGCTCAGGATGTCTGCACATAAAATGCAAAAAATATTGTGCATTTCGCTGTGCCCATGAACGAGTTAGAACAAAATTCTAAGAGAAGGACTGCCACATATGTACATACGGGTGTATAATGGTATTTTCATTTTATGGCCCACATACACACTTAATGCTCTTTTGACATTTGAAGAGGTCCATGAGCGAAATAGAAAAGTGCATGAAAAAGACCAATACAGAGTAGTTTATTTGTTATACTCTATAAGCTGGTTGGTTCGCAATACCATTTGATGTGCCGTCATTAAAAAACACTTGTGAAACGCAATTCAATTCAATTATCCGTGATATTTTGTTCATTTTCATTTTAATTAGCTATTAAAGAGCATTCTCTAGTCATACGTTTGTTTTTTTAATGTTGGAGTTCCGTATACTGGCATTTGTTTTTGCATTTGAATGGGGGTTGCCTTTACGCCAGGATTAGCATTAGGGTTAATTCGTTTAAGTCGTGGTGTGGTGCTCGCAAAAGTGCCATAAAAAGCACACACACCTACACACACAAAAACGGTACAAAAAATCTCATATAAGATGTGGTGGAGGGAGTCCTTTCCTGCTTCTCTGTAGACTAATTAATAATGAGGCAAACAGCGAGAGGCACATGCTGCAAGGACATTCGAAATAGCTGTAGCCAAGCATATGGTCTGTGTGCTTTTGTCATGCACACCCTGACAATACATAATTAATTGAGTTTCACCTGATGACGCACGTCAACAGGGCGCATTCGTAATATTAATGACCAACTAATTAACTATACATCGTACTATATAGTTTATATACATATATATTTATGTGTGTGTGTACGTTGTATGTGTTTTTGCAGTCGGAGGAGCGGGGCGCGACACCTTCGCGTCGCAGCAAATCGGAGGGACCACCCGTTGTGCCCAATGGACGTGCCTATCCCGCTGCAACGGAGATCGATGGAGCCACAAGAAAACAGGTACACAATTGTCAAATGGATTGGATTCCCATCCATTATCAGAATATCTGACTGTTAGTTATACTTGGGTTGAGTTTTGAATGAGATGCATGTCGGTATCAGTTTGCAGACATCATTTTTGAATCTCATTAGAAGAAGACTTCTATCGGAAATACATCTGCTGGGACAATGCCCATCACTTTGTGTGCCACTTCTTTCGTGGCGCCACATAAAGAACCCTCACAAAAAAAACATTTGAAAAAGCGAGAAAAAACTGTATTTTATTTCCGATCAGTGAGGGATGCGCTTCGGACCATTGAAACGGGACCTGCGACTGGGACTGCAACAATTTCTATTAGTCCTGTCGCCTGTCCTGTCTATCAGCCTGAATATCTGTCTATAACTTTTCTGGGCCCTTTTATTGGCCATTTTCCATGTGCTGAACATGTTGTTGAACATTCTGTAACTCGTCTCGCCATTTGCTGCAATGGGTAACATTTTTATGTACTTTCATTCAGTGTGTAGATGTGCCATTGAGTTGTCAGACAGTAAGTCCGTCTGTCAGTTAGTCAGCCATGTACTCGACCTGAATGTACAATTTTAATCTGTAAAACTCTTCAACATTTGCATAAGTTGTGTATCGATTTATTTTTTGTTGCAACCATTCAGGCACTTCCTATTTGTGCATACTTGATATCTTTTCAATACTTGTATCGCTTTGTGGAAGTTCTGTATCTGATTTGTGTAGTGCATGTCGATATCTGAATCTAAAAATTGATTGGAGGGTGTGAATATATTGTAATTTTTATTTTGATATAAACGTAAATATATCCACATTAATCAATAATTTTTTACCGAATATTAAACAATCAATTAGTGATAAATATTCAAAATTTACAATTTATACTTGTATTGTGTGTATTTCTTCTCTTTCTCTTTCTCGTTCTCGTTTTCCATTTCTCCATGACTATCCCATGACTAACACACGGTCTCGTCTCCATATTCTCTATGTTACATGTGTGCTCTGATCATCGTCTATATAATAATGAAAATATTTACGTAAACTATAATATTTATATTACTGATTCTCACACTCAATGCGAAAATGCAATGCTCTTTCTTTTCTCTTTCTTGTCTCTCCTTTAATTTGTCAACCCCTTTTGCGTTATGTGTTATTTCTGCTCTTATATTTCGCAGGCGGGTGAGTCAAATGGCCTATTTCGAAAGACCATCTCAAAACTGAGCACAGAGTACCGCCTGCAATTCGTTTGGCCGAATGTCCGGCGGATTAAGGGCGGCGGCGAGGCGACGTCTAAGGCCGCGGCCGGCGATTACCCTCGAAAGAGTATCTCATTGGGCGCCCTGCGATCCAGTCAGAGCCACAGTCACACTCAGAGCCAGAATCAGAGTCTAAACCAGACCCAGACACACGGCCACAGTCAAACCCATCATTCAGTGATGGGTGCAGGTCTACCAACGGTGCATAAAAAACGTACAACAAATCAGAAAGAAGGTGCGACAACAAATTGTCGTCGCTAAGCATTTATTTAAAATATTAAATACCAAAAAAAAAAAAAAAAAAAATTAATCTGATAAAGATTACATTTTCTATTAGCGCATAGTTTCTTTCAAATAATACTCTACTTGTAATACTAAAAACAATCAAAGAAAAAAAAAGAATGAGCGTACTACTAAAATGAATTTCCATTTGATTTCTAGTCATTTTCTTTACGTAACCAACTAATTCACGAAACAAAACTAACTTTTGTTACTAACCTTTATGTGTGTGGAAAACGAAAATGTTTATTTTTCAAGATGATTTTGAACTGAAAATTTTGTGCAGTGGCAGCAGCATTGATCAAAAAACAAACAAAAAATCGAATAGAAATCTTTGTTGAATAGTGTTGGTAAATGTAGCTAAAACTTTTCTCTACCTCTCAGCACTGCCACAAAAAATACAATTTATTGAAAAAATGCGAATCAAATCAAGTTTTTTATGTACACGTCGTAAATTTATGCTTTATCATATATATATCTCTTTATATATATATATACATATATATGTATACAGTGCTCTCAGCCTTAAGATAGAGACTCGTATTATTCCTAGTATAACTTATTGATATTTTTTTTTTTTATGATTTCTGTATATACAAGCCAATATTTTGTTGAACGCTTTTATGGACTAATGTTTACTTTTCATTTCAAGCAGTTAGCAAAATACTTTTACTGTCTTTCAAATCTATTTCATATAGAACGAAATTATGCTAAATTCCTTAACAAAGAAAAAGAGAAAAACCGAAAACTAAACATACATATAAACCAAAGTTAAAAACACATTCAAGAATATCTTTTTAGCCAAAAGCTGACGTAAGTGTTGAACTAAATTTAATTTATATTAGTGCTAACGAAACCAAAAAAAAAAAAAAAAAAAAAACACACACATAAATTTTCTATTCATGCTAAGCGTTAAATTGCCTTGAATGAGAACCCAAATGAACTCGAATACGAGTACGTGCTTCAACTATAATGACTTATGAATGTCAATGGATGTCAATGCAATTTAAACGTGATGAATGGATCAATTGATGAACTAGCGAAAGTGTAGTCGGAGCATGTTGTGGCCGCAGAGGTTGTGTGATACCTTTTATAAGTATTTTCAGTTCAGTTCGAGGAATAGGAGTTGTTGGCCTTAGTTACGTTGCATGTGTGAAACGGAATTACTAGAGTATCATACAACAAATAACCATCCAATCCATCAGTCAGTCATGACATATACATATGTATATCGTATACACATTGTACACATTTCATTCTGTTAGGGAATTGGCAGGGGGCTTTAACATGAATATTCTCAAAAAAATAAAATTTACAGTGCAAGCGCATAGGTAAGGCGAAACGGAAACGGAAACAGAAATACCATTATCCCCCTACTCTATATATCTGCTAAATCTTTAAGTGCATCTGCATCTCAGTGAATATTATTGGCTTCAAAATGCAACAAATGTTCTGCTTATGGTCTTGCGACGCCTTGAGCTTACAGCGAAACGAGCTTCAAATAGTGTACAAAAAATTGGATGTAGTGCTTACAGATACTAAAAAAATATTACTAATAAGGTGCATTCAACTCGAATTTATACATTAAATGTAACACAAAAAAAATTGGTTTGAATTTCGTTCTATATTCTAAAAACAAAAAAAGCAAACCCAAAATTGAAGGATAACCCATGCCAAACACGCTTCAACCAAGTCATTTTCGACATATAATTTTAATTTGTTTTGTTTCAATGCCAACCCAAACAAAAGACACAAACTTGACATTTATTTTTAGTTTTTTTTCTTTTTGCATTTCCCAATAAACACCCGAAGAGTAAAAGCCACCCACCAAACCACTGAACCACTAAACCACTAACCCACCAAGGCGCTGCTTCCGGCTCATTTATTTGCTGTACAATTAATAAATGATCACCCTAATACTTTGTTCGATTGAGTTCCAAAAACTTAGACACATTGCAAAAGAAGATGAAGAAAAAAATAAAAACTAACATTTACAAAAGCTCCTTTATTTCCACCTTTAGTTATCCTATAAATATACTTATATATATTTTCGATTATCTTAATGTACATGCAGGATGAATCTGTATAAAGCTTTCGATCGTGTGTGGATTGCAGCATTAAATTTCATATCTATGTGCTTTCAGCTACTCTTCATGAGTTGGAGCCGTTGGTTAGCGATACGGATGATAGAAAAACACACGAGAAGTATGTACACGTTTGCTTAACCTCACTTTAGATAAACCCAATCGACAGTCAGAACTTCTGCTATTCTCATTCGATGATGTCCTCTTCATGTAGACCCGAAACCCGAAATCAGCAGCATCACATCTCAATCTCCCACTCATCCACATGCATGTTGCAAAGTGTTGCATGTCAACAGCCATCGAGATGCACAGTCGTTCCCTTCTTTTCTTAAAGATTGCATTCTTTTTCTCTAAGCTAATGATCCTTTGCTTTTGTTTTTGATTTTATCAGACAAGTGACCATCGTGGAGCGCAAGTCACGACCTTTCTCGCAGGCCATCGATCACGAGCGTCTGAATCATTTTATTACGAAAAAGGAGAACTTTGGTTTTGCCGATGCAGCTTTCAAGGATGAGGTGGACAATAAGCATGGACATTCAGCCGATGCCGGCCAAGTGGTGGTCATGAATGGTACCGATCCTCCGCACTCTAAACCGAATTTGGATTTGTGGTTCAAGGATATGGTTGAGCTACGCAAAAAGGCAGGGGAATATAAGGTAGGAAGGAGTATTAATATAAATTCCCCAATATATTCCTTTAATTTTTCTTCAAACATTTTGCTTTGTAGAGCCGTGGTTGGGGCAGGGAAATTGATCCGGAATTGTACAAGAAGCAAAAGGATCTATGGGATCAGGTTTCAAGGCGCAGCTCACTTTCAGCATTATCTTTAGCTTCGACTGTACATAGGTAATACTTAATAATATAATTTAAAATGAACCTAATAAGAACATACATTTGAAATCCCTCATCAAAGACCCATTACAAAGGAGGAGAAGGATCAGGAAAATAATAAGAAATCAGCACCATTGCCGAAGACACCACTTAAGCCCCGAGTTCCTGGTCAAGCCTATTTGGTTGATAATAAAGATGAGATTTCAGCACTGCCAGCGCGTTTTAGTAATATACGCCATCATTTAGAACGCACCACGGGTCCGGGTTGGTCTATCCCATAGATTTTCATATTTAATCCACTAATGTTTGAATCTTTTCAGATGTGGAAGAGGGCGCCTTGCTGCCTTCGCCGACCCGTGAGAAATTAATGCCAGCCATAACCAAGAGGGAATCGGAATCGCAGAGAGGTAGCCCCAAGAAGACGGCTCTCTCCAGGCATGGATCACCTCAGAAGGGCAGTCCCCAAAAGGGCAGTCCTAAAAAGGTTCTGAAATGTGAGTAGCCCTCTTCATTTGCTCTGCCGTCATTTATACTCTCGAATTCAGAAGAAGTTATATACACATCCAATACCGAAAAAAATTAACCATAGCTGAAAAAGACAAAATTACTTTCTAAGCAACATAATGACACAAGTACACAAAAAATACACACATCCATATGAGCAACATAGAAGCTGTCACAGAACAATTGTACACACGCTCCAAACAATAAGTATACGCCCCCTTATCCTGATTTCCGTTTTTGCTCATTTCATAGTTTGCTCAAATGCTTCAATCATTTGATTTGCATATAAATTTTCCATTCCACTCTTTGCGAAGGATTCGATTTGTTTCACATCCTTTTCGAGTGTGCACCGAAGACTACTTGTTGGGCTATGAGATTTTTTGCACAAAACTTGTATGTAGTTTCCTTCCTTTAAGTATTTATATTTCCATTTACTTTGAGATCTTGTGTTCTGAGAAAATACTTTCCAATGATGTTATACATTTAAGAGACATTTTTGTAGAGAACATTTTAAGTGATGGAGTTTTTCCTATGTTTTTTAATTTTAAGTTAAGGCTACTTCGATCGATATGTGGCCACATGTTCATATCGCTTGTATATTTTGTATATATTGCTTTATTGTTGTTTTTGGTAACAAGATATCTGAAGATAGCGGAACAATAAGCTGTTTTATTTAATTTAAATGTGAGCTGTGTTAAAAATTTTCAATTATGACTCAGATACTTAACAGGAATTAATTGAAATTTTAGCTAGTCAGCTAAACTGATATATTCTGTTTATTAAACTGTGCATAATGATTTCTATAATGAGACTAAGACTGTTAGGCTTAGCTAAGGCATATATATATATATATATATACATGGTGGCTTTATTTTTGAAATAATTTGAATGAATATTTTGAATATGAAGTTAAAAGATATTAAAAGAATATAACACAGGTCGCCAGAATTCGTTTTAGAACTTTAATACGCACTAGACATTTGACTTTCTGCCAGATTGAACCATCAAATAACTATTTATTTGTAGTACAATTCAATAACACCACATTATCTTGTACAATAATTCACACCACCACAAAACTTCATCAGTAGAGAAAAAGGCAACATTAACAATAAGAAATTCTACTAAAAATTGAGAATTTTTGAAATTAAAACATACCAAACCGTACTTTTATCATCAATCAAACCGCCACCACCACCAACCATACAACAAAAATCGTTCAAAAATACAACAAAAATTAACGAAATGAAATTAAAAAAAAAACAACAAAAAATCAAAAACGAAACCATCCTCATCTGTTCGGTGTTGCCATGTTGGGAATGTGTGTGCTGTATGTGCAGCGCGGTCCCAATCAGTGGGTCCGGGCGTTGCTGAGAATGAATCCCCGAAGCGCCAGATACGGTCGGCCTCACAGGCCCCTCCGGCGAGCCGCAAAAAGACACCAACTTCAGCTACGACAGCGGCCGGAAGCGAGCGTAAGACACGCCCATGTAAGTAGTCCAAAAATAGAGCAGCACTACCGAGACCGACATTCCCTATTTCCCCCCTAAAAAACGACGTAACGAGGCCTTCAATGCCTTTATTTTCAGTTTGGAACTTACTTTAGACCTAGTTTGCATAAAGTCATGTGTTGATTCTATGTTTCTTTCGTTGGTTTTTGCATTCATTTAATTTTGATTTGCAAGGTCTGTTACTAGTTTTAGTAAGTTTTTTGGAACACACCTAAACTCCTCTAAAAATCAATCGAAAATCTAGATAAGTGTCTAACAAAACTAATAACTAACATAATTAGAGACTCATTTTCCAGTAATTTATTAAAAAATTTCTGTTAGTTTTAGTCTTTGGTCATGCAGTTTTTCATGGTTTCATATTCGTTTTGTTTTCCCTACGTGAGTTCTGTTTCATTGTTCTCTATGTAATGAAGCGTTTGATTGGTCTTTCGAGTAACATTAAAATAACAATCTATAGTTTTTAGCATGTTGAAGTGAACAAAACTACTAACAAAACTAACTAACTGAACTAAAACAATAAAACAATTAAACTTAACTGTAAGTAATTTAAAGTAATACTAAAAATTCCAATTGAGTGTTGTTGTCTTTGTTTTTTCATTTTTATTACGTTTTCCCCAAGCTAAAACTAGCCTTAAGAGTGTGACTTTGTTGGCTTTTAAACCAGCCCTAGATATTGTGTAACCTCTGTTAATAATATTAATATAAATATACATAAAAAGGGGCACAGCATCTACAAAATATTCTCAGCCAGCAATGAAGCCCCAGCGTTCCAATAGATGTTCCTATTTAAGTACTACTAACAATTAGAAATTATTAATCAAAAACTAAGTTCAAACGTGTCCTCACTAACAGCATTTAATTTTCGTTTAACTTTTAAAGATTTTCCTTTATTTGAAACTTTGATTTTCTGGTAATTTCTTTAGTCTTTGCTTTGATTGCATTCTTGATTCGCCATCTACCAAAAAAAGTACAACTTTTCTAATGAAAAATAAATTTAACAATATACTTTTTTCATGTGCGTTTTGTTCTCGGTTTGAAAATGATATACAAAAAATATTCAACAACTACGAAAAATATCCAAAACAAAAAACCGAAAACTTGCTTACGTTTTTATAGCCACCCTATCCACAACATTCCAATCCCGCATTAAAAGTAGTTCCCTGCCACCGCCTAATGGTAGAGTAGCCTCTGCGCCGCCAGCAACTGCAAAAGCAACAGCAACCCGAGCAGCATCTGCAACAAAATCAACTTTAAATGCTAATCAGCCTCATGCCAGTCAATCACGAACATCACAAGCCAAGACAGCCCATGGACCCAGCAGATCCAACAAAATTCAGAAATCATCTGCAACACCGGGACAACAGCAGCAGCAGCAACAGAAAGAGCAGCAACAGCAAATGCGTAAGACAGACAAAGATAGATCGAATATTAGTTGCATTGGTTTTGGTAGTACTGTTGGTGCTGGTAGCGGTAGTCAGATGAATAGTGTCAAAAATCAACAGAACAAACAAAAGCAACAGCAACTACAGCAGCAGCAGCAACAAAAGATTGCTACAACATCAGACAAAACACAAGAGGCAACATCAACAACTGTAGCAGCAGCCACAGCTACAGCAGGCACATCTCAACCAATAGTTCAATCAACAGCTCAATCAGCATCTCCTCAATCAGCAACATCCTCGTCTCAAAATCCCATCCGGCCTGCAACCATCAACATCAAACGGCTTACGGTACAAGGTCAGGATAGAAAATTGGCTGAAAGTGAGTAAAGTTTCACCGAAAACTTGAATCTTGAAATCTCTTCAAATAAAAATCCCAAAAAAAAAATAAACAAAAAATAATGCTGTAAAATTACATCTGATGCGCGAAATGTTTGTGTTGCAACTTTTGTAAAACTAAACAAAAAAAGAAAAAAAATATCTTAAAAACCAAGCTATTAATAATTGAGCATTTTACACCTTGGCCAAAACTGTTTGTACACCATATTATCATTTAACAAATTGGCATCAGAATGGGCTCCACAATTAGATACAACCCCCCGAAAAATGTTTTATGTTCTGAACTCTCGAGCCATGTGGAATCATGTGTGTGTCTTAGATTGGCATTAGAAATTATGTAGCAAACATTTTGTAGTATAGAATTTTGTTGAAAAATGTATTGTATCCTCGTTATTCCATTGGCCCAAAGAAATTCTTTTTAATACACCCAAAAAAATCACCATCCAAAATGAAAGTCAAGGAAAATTTCAGTAATATTCCCAAAATTCTTATATTGCAAACAATTGTGGTTAAACCAAAGAGCAAAATGCATTGTTAATAAATGTTAGTTGTTGTTGTCATCAATGTTTGTAAATGTTGTGTATTCCAGCCGTGTGTCCATGTATATATTGTATTAAGATCGTTTCATATATATTACTATGCGTCTCATCATTTGTAGTCTTCCATTGTGTTCTCTATATGGCTATAGTTCTCTGTTCTATGCGTACTTTTCTGTGTACTTTACTTTACTTTATTTTTTATTGATACTCGTATGTACTTATAAAGTAGTGATTATACTTGTCTAGAGATTCCTGACACTAATTTGATTTTGAGTACCATAATTCTACAGTGAAACACTTAAACACAATACTAGACACATTCACTAGAAGAATTTAGATAATGTTCTGCTACAAGAAAATTTAATAGAAATTACATTGAATTGTCCTAGCAGTGGAATTACATTCTCTCATAGATAAACAATATTTTCATTATAACATTAAATCCATCTTTATAGATCCTAGATTTTATCAATATTCCAGAAAAATTACAGAGTTTAAATGAGTCTAAAAAAAGGGTTAAATTCAAAGGTTTGTTTCAAATATGATAGATGGTTACTATTTATATGAGGTAAATCATTTCCCAAGCTGTCGTCGATATCTTCGTTGTTGCCTGTCGTCTCTGCCGCCACTTACATTTTTCAATCAGCAAACAACAGCCATAAGAAAACTGTATACTTTATTTCCCGTCCTAATTTCCCTGCATTTTAAAGAACTTTCACGCTTTTCAATGTTGCGTGTCTGTTTGTGTATTTGTGGCATGCCGTTCTTTCATGTTGTGCGCTTAATAAAACTCTAAAAAAAAAAAACAAGAGAGTTCTATTATTTGTTTATTAATTTATACTAACAATTTTGTTGCCTTTTAAGCTTCTGGCTTAATATACCTAAGTTCTCCTAAGTTCCCTTAAAATTTTTCGTTTGATCTATGATGTTCATTTTCGACTTTCTGTTACAACTACTAACCAGTAAAAACTCAATCACAAATTTTGCTTAACAAAAAAGAAAAAAAAAGAATGACAAAAGAACAGTTCAACAGCTGCAGCAGCATATACGATATAAAGAAATAACTCAAACATAAACAAATGCGCCTATAATCAAGTTATTTTCATAGTTTCACTCGTTCCAAAAATGAATTCATAACCAAAATTAACATATCTCTCTGGATATTTTGCAAAAACCAACAGACGATGGCGAGGATGGTCGTGAGACTGCAATTTCCATTTCCAGCTGCAGTCCACAGCCGCCTGTGGTGCCCGAGGTGCCCGAGGAGCCATTGGTGAAGTCACCACCAGAACCCACTAGGGTAAAGTCCCCGGAGCAGATTATAATGCGTTCACCCGATCCAGTGAACTGGACCGTGCCCTTGGATACGGGCAAGACGTTCACGGTTACCCAGAACGTTAAAGACGGTAGAGTATACAAGGATTTTTTGGTGGAAAATCTTTTGAAATCGTTGCCTGTTTTCAGGGGAGAGCTATAGCCGACCTCAGAGCGAGATAAAAGCCTCTACTCCGGTGGAGAAACCACCACCGCCACCACAATCGGCACCGCCACAACTAACCGAACAGGCTAAAATGGACGGTAAGCCATTAAGCACGCTTCAATAATAAAAAACGCAAAAAAAACTTCCATAACAAAAGTATCAGCAAAAACAAAAAAAAAATAACGAAGTCAACCAACAAAAAATATCATAAAAACCAAACCAAGTCGAATCGCTTTTACAAATATTTATATATCAACTCGTATTTATATATGTATCTGTATATGTATATGTATGTATCGCTACTCACACAACCATCATCCAAATACCAAAATCGAAATCATCGTTAGCCAAACGTTTAACTTCTTCAAAAACAAAACAAAAAAACACCTGCAAAAATCAAGCCAAAATATCTCAATAAGCGTAAATATAATGCAAAGTTCCGCCTTTCTGTAAACCCCTAAACAAAACCCCAAAAAGTGCAAGCCAATCACATAGCGTATCGAAAAATAAACGTAGATCCTTGCGTAACATAAACACTATTTCCAAAACTATCTCCCCTCCCCTATCCAAACCTCTCAAACCACTGCCATCCTCAAAGCCTGGAAGTCGTCCAGTCCTACGACCAGTGGAGGCGCTGTCTATGGCAAGACCCTAACGCCCCATGTAGCCCCAGGTGGGGCTGTGCGCCAGCAACAGACTGTGGATCTACCGCAGGATCAGGTCATGTCATCGTCCTCGTCAACGGGCACTGCTTCGACGGCTCGAACCACAGCTGCCGAGGTCCTGGAGAAGGCGCGCGACCGTTTCGATCGATTCTGGGGCAGCAGCGCCAGCAAGGAGGAAAGTGTGTAGGCGACAGACGAGCAGGCGCTCGCAGGAAAAGCATGAAAGTGCAAGCAATTATAATACGTAAAACAGCCTACAACCAAAAATGACATTATGCAATACCTAAACATATATGAATAATACTCTCTTGAATACCCAAAAGCTATGCAAAACCCCACTTTGACTATGCTTGAACTTTTGATTTCATAGCAATTTCATGAAAATGCATGAAAACCTATTAAAATAATTTCCACAAAACACTTTCACTGCCTTTTCCCACAACACAAAAAAAAAAAACATCATACTGTTGTTTTCCATTGACAAAACCAAGAGAACTTTGCAATATTTTGAAAACATCATGAAATCATACAATTATATATTAAATGGGACAAACATCACCGCAAAGACCCGTCCAAAAAGTGAGGCCATATTCAAGCAGGAATACAAAATATATCTCACATTTTTTTAACTTTCATTAATCGAGCAAAAACCAAGCCATATATTTGGGTAATGCATAAAAGGTGATCCACGCTGATCCTTCAAAAACCAAAATAAAAAGTTAATAATAGATTTTGCACATGAATTACAAAAGGGAAAAAAAGAAAACTTAAGAAAACTTAACAATAATTTAAGATACATTTTTGGCTAAAAGAAAACAGAAAATAAATGGCAAATGATGATTTGAAAAATAAAGAAAACACTCACACAGAAACATACCAAAATACTACGACAAACAATGAAAAATTAAGGATGAGATGAGGGACAATGCTTTGGAAAGCTGTGAAACTACTTTAAGACATACGTACATTTCTTATATAACTATAACTATATGTATGTCTTAATAGTCGACAAATATGAAGGACGGAGAAACCTTATCAAATTCATTCCGATTTTGATTAAAAGTTTAGCGCTAATTTATTGAAAACAAATGCTTCCCAAAGGGCAATAGCTTTGAGAAATTATGTTTGATGTATGGGAATTTTGTTAGATTTCGTTTCCTCATGTGTATCTGCTGCTATAAACTGGAAATGCTTAAATGTTATACATCTAAAAGAAAAACAAAAAAACAAAGAAAAAACAAAAGGTATACCTTTGTAAGCTGAAGTTAAAATTTCATTACCCATAAGTTGTGTGATTAACTTCAGTATTGAGCTTAATTGTTGCTTGTCTATATATTTTTTAAAACAAAGCATATACTAATAATAAATTAAAATCACAAAAAACTAGAAGAAGACGGAAGTTGAGAAAGACAGTTCAATGGTATTTATTAAACAGTTGAATATTTTGTATATGTTTTTCATGAATGGACCTGTTTGTTAGCTGGAAATGATGAGTTGATTACAGAACCCCTATGAATAGTTACAAAATATTACAAGTGCCCCCACACACCCACGAAAAAATTGTTTATTAATTCTCATTCGATTTGAGTCACTCCAAAATGCATTAGTTAGAGACAAAAGATTAAGAAATCTAATGACATGCTCTGACATTTTCTAAAAAAATCCAACAGAACCCAAAAAATAAAAGACAGGAACATGCACACACTAAAACTGAATAATATTTCCAGTTACAGTTGGATATAAAGAAAAACAAGTAGAAAACACTTGACACTCATTTAGTTTTAAACTATCGTACTTAACAAATTTTAGGCAACTTTAATATGAATCTACTTAAGAACAAAACTTGATATATACTCTAGCTTGTTTACCAAGGAAATAAAATGAGAAATAATAAAAAAAAACACTGAAACTTCAACAAAATATAACTCCTACAAAATCGAAACCAAAGGCGCACCACAAAAAAGGCTTCTTCAAAAACCAATATACATTTTTAGAACTACTTATATGAGGCTCACAATTAAAAATATATTTCCGTTTGAGATATTCCTGAATGAGAACTAAATTTGAATTTCACGCCTCAATGCGCCACAAGTTTTACATTAAAAAAATTAAAAAAAACCCATTATGAAAAATTAATACAAAATGCAAAACAGATTGATGATTTTTTCCTGAAATTGTCATAAAAGAAAGGCACACCAAATAGCCTTGATAGAAATGCTAAATAACACATATAATATAATTATATACATATGTACTTGGGCGAAGAAAAAACAGAATCATATAACAGAAAACATATATAATAAAAGAAAAACAAAAGAAAAAGAAGTGATGGTAAAAATGATTATAAAAACTGTATGAATCAAATAAATGAAAAATGCATATAAAGGTTTTACAAAATGGTATTTTAAAGGCGGAAAATCTAAAATAATGGAGGATTGATGGTTCCAGCTTCATTATCGCGTGCAGAAAAGAACGAAAATCCTTTTGAGTTTGAAATCCTTGGGGCAGTGTGCGACGGGTTCCTGCCTTGGTAATATAACGTAGTCCTGCACCAGAGTTGGACAGAAATTTACAAATGGTCAACAGGACTGGTAATTTAAGGATTCAATTCAGAATTTTGTTCAAAGAGTTTTTAGTTTATGATTTAAGCTTTAATTAATGTTTTACCGAAAAATAGGCTCCAAACTCCTAAATAAAACAACTTAATTTTTTTTGTTGTGTTTGTTTTTTTTATTGCTGGTATTAAGTTTTTCTTCAAGAAAATGTTCTTTATTATAATTGCTGTATTATTGAAGGTAGGAAATAGTAGTATTTAACTGCATTATGGCTTTACTTTTAACTTTACAATATCATCGGTGTTGTTCTGGTGTTATCTGGGACTGAGAGTATTTTTGCAGAGACAGCTATATACATTTGCTTGCGGTTTTGTTTTTTTTTTGTTTTCCGGGTTTTGGGGTTTTGTTTTTGAGTTTCCATTAAATAATTAGACAGTTTGTTAGACACTTATTGCTGGTAAATGGTTTTCATAGGCATTACCTAATTTTACTGATTGTAGACGAACTATAAGACTTTGGGTTTATTATTGCACTTTATGAACTATTATTTTATATTAGTTATTTAGATTTTTTTTTTTGTTACAGGAATATAGAAAGCTGCTATCACAGTATTTTTAAATTAAAATTAAGGAGAAATGATTAGAGTTTGATAATGGGTCTAACTTATATGTTTTTGCATTAAGAAAATACTAAAAGCCGATCAGACATACATAACATTATATAAATTATAACTCTTTTCAATTGTATTATGATTGCATTTAATTTTGTTTTTAAGTTTCTTAAAGTTTGATCAAAAATACATGTGTCGAAAAAATGGTTTAAATGTTTTTTTTCATTAGCTTTACACCTTTAGTTTTTAATTTTATTTTTAGTTTATTTTCGTATTATATCAAGTGTTCATTTGTGTTATAGTTTTTTGTTTTAATCTTAATCATGGGTCTGAAATTGATTTCGGTTTTATATAGATTAATCGTAAGCGTAAATAGTTTCACAAATATGTGTCAGAATCATGGGTATTGCTAGTGGTGCATTTTGGGGATACAAGAAATAGAACAAAGACTTTTCTTGAGACTACAACAAATCAATCGAGTTGGTCTGGGCTCATTTATACTTATATATAAAAAAATATAATATTATAGACGTCGCTCAAGTGATTTGTTATACGGAAGGATACTTTGGGGTAATGCCATTTCAAACACTCACTCAATGGGAGGCATCTGAGCAAACATTTGAAAGGCAACAGTAGGGGGACATTTAGATCTGTGGATTACCTATAACTTATTCATTATGCAGCTATATATGTAGTATATATATCATATTTTGAGAATATAAAGGTTTTAACGCAATGGTTCAAATCGAAGAGGGGGTGACTTATCAAATTATTTAGCACAATTTTGTTCTTAACAGTTAAATGTTTCATTTTGTTTGATAAAAGTTGTGTTGTTTTTTTTAGTTTCACTTAAAATTAAACAATTAAAAGGTATACCAAAAGGGTTTTATCCGAACACCCATGTCCGTGTTCCCAATGCTAGCTAAATTTCTATACCATATCCTTGTATATAGTACCAAAAATGAATTTTGTTTTTTGGGGGGATTTCCCTGGCATCCGGCACCAGGGAGTTGGACCCGCCCAGGGGGGCTCTTACCTAAACTTATAAGCATAAAAAACGTTGCTGGACTTAACAACTAAATTCATTTAAATAAAAAAAGTTAGAGTTGCTTTCGGTTACCACAAAAATGACACTTTTAACAGACTTTTCTTTGTTGCAGCTTCTACGAGAGTAATGGTTCTCGTATATGCCCATAAGGTTAGCATCAGTAGGGGGTAAATATTTAAATTTAGTTTCCAATAACTATATATAAGTTCAAGTACAATTATATGTATAAGTATATTTAATATAGCGATGAGTTTGGTTTTTGATTTTGTGGTTTTCTTTGGATTTTGCATGTGTAAAATTTAAATTGCTTTTAAATTTAGAATCATAATTGTGTGTTAGTCATAAGGTTAGAGCATTATCTAGGGTTCTCTTGGTATTTGGGTTTATCTAGGATTATCTAGGATTATCTAGGACTTTATTCAAAAGGTAAGTGTAAGGATTATCTGTGAGGTTCATCTATTCCGATTAAACTTAGGTTTTGGGGTTGAATTTTTAAACATTTAAAAACTTACTGCTGTTTTTGTTGTTAAATATTTGCATGTGCCACTACTTTTAAATTCGTTTAACTGCCAATTTTTTTGTAAGTAATCCTTGAATTTGACATGAGTACACATAAAACATCAAAATGACATCCGTTTTTCTTCCATCTGGGGTATAACTTACATTTCTAAGAGCAGAAAAAAATGTTACAATTCTTTTCCAAAAGTATTTTGTTTGAAGAGTTCCTCAGTTATGCCTAAACATGTATAAGAATATCGATAAACGGAATCAATTACGTCTATCGTTCTTCTTATCGTTATCGTAATTTCGCTCGTTTGTCGGTCTGGTGCTTGCACACCCATGACATTAGCTAAGCTAACCTATAAATTAGTGATTGTTGTATGCATTGGTTTTCCCCTCTACAAAAATTAACATTCCCATATACTCCGTCAGCACTCCCTATACACTGATACACTCTTTGCTATATCCATATCCATTTACATACATATACCTCATCTCTATCTCCAACTCTAAGAGCACGTTTCGAAGACTAATTTGCTTTGTACTAGCCGGTTGTACACCTTTACTATTTTTAACTCTCTTAACAACAGGAACCTTTCGTTATATTGCAATATTTAATTCTCACTTAGGTCCTTGATGGCCTGGAGTATACGTTTTACATGACCCACTTTGACCACACCCAGATCCTTGAGATCGCGACGACCCAGAGTCAGGAGCTCCTTGCCGCGAATGTCGTTCTTTAGGAAGCTATCCACATACTCGGAAAGTTGCATGGTCTCCAACCAAGTGACAACCTCGTTTACACTCCAATTGTTGGCCGCCTCGCGTGTATTGTTGATGGGAGACTTGAACTGCTGCTGTCCAGCCGTCGATCCAGAGCGTAGGCGCACCCAGAATGGTCTTGACTTTCGGCGACCATCGGGCTGGAGATAAAATGAAAGATTATGATGAATATGTCGATTGAATATCGGTCGAAACTCACCTCTTCATTGGGCGCCAGAACATTAAAGTATGCCCGTAGCTTGCCGTCAATGCACTTTTGCACAGAGCACTTCTTTAGCTCCATTTCCATGTTTGCCAGAGCTGCACTCAGCTTCGTCTCCAGGTCTTCTCTTAGGATTAGACTATGTCCACGATCCCGGAGCAAGGTACAGGCGTCGTCATAGAGCTGTCGCGAGGAATCAATCACCTCTACCAAGTTAGTGCGAAGGGATGGACCCTCGAGGAGTTTTCCCTGCGGATGAATGCTTTCCAAAGCCTCACTGGCGCGACAGGCAACGCAATAGAGATCGTGTTGCAGTGCGGGATGGGAGATGATCAAGAACTTGACCCACTTGACCAGAGAGCTAACGGCCTCAATGAAATTGAGGAGGACATAGCACTCCCGTTCGGAGATCACCTCATCCGTGGAGACTGCGTGCTCAGAAGCGGTGGATGAGGCATCCCTCTGTATTGAGATGCTGTGCTGACGCTGCTTCTCCTGCCAGCTCTTCAAGGAGAGCTCCAGACTCCGATTGCGACACAACATCTGAACCCGATTCTTGTGCAGGATGCGAATCATGCCGGGGGGCTGTAGCCATGCCTCGCCATCAACTTGAATGGGTATCTCCTCATCGCCCAGGATGTTGATCTGCACGCTTTGGCACTGGGCAATGCGATGGTGCTGCAGATTGATCAGTCGAGAGGCGGCCATTTGCACAGACCCAAAGACAGCGACAACCTCGAGCACACGATCATCAAAGCTGGGGCTGAGAAAGATGTCGTCCTTCTTGGTGTTGCCCCAGAAATTGGTGCCACCCATGAAGCTGGGTATGTTCAAAATAACAATACCCTGCAGTTCTGGAAGGGGAATCCTTTGTCCATCGCACTCCAGCTGCACACGTTGTTCGAGATTCTTGCAGGTCTTCTGGAGCAGCTGCTTGGAGCCAAGGACTCCGTACCACATGTAATTACGAGCACGGGAACGGCATTTCTCGGGATGCTCCTCGCGCTTGTTGTGGAAGTCCAGTGAGATCTTGGCATCGATACCAATTCCAAAGTAGTTGTTCATTACGCACTTCTCATGGTAGCCGGCCAGGAGGGTCTCATCCGGATCCATCAATGGGCTGACGGCGGCACACAAAGTATCGGCATTAGCCAGCAGACATTTCGAGATGAAGCCACCCCCATTAGCGAGATCTAAAGAGGAGTAAATACAATGAAAAATCGATGCTTTAGGGAGAAAGAAAGGCAGGTTATCCTTACTTGGCCAATTCGGAAGTCGAACCAACGGATTGATGATGGGTAACTTTCTAGTAGTCTCCTCGGTAGGAGTCTTCTCTTTGTCCTTGCCAGCTTTGTCGTCCTTATCGCCAGCTGCAAAGTGATCGAAGCCGAATAACGTTGACCCCATGAACAGGCTCGATTTGGAGCCCTTGAGTGTCTGAAGATTGGGCAGAGCTTCGTTCGGCTGCAAGAAAGGGGAAACGATTAAATGGTGGGCTCGTTGCAGGGCGAAGTATCGAGTACATGTGTCAAAGAGCAACTGGAAAGTCAGCACTAACTACGATACAAAGAAACATGTGGAGTGGGTGTGATTTTGAGTGTGAAACTCTGTGTGGTGGCTGGTGATTGGTGATTGGTGATTGCTGGGTGGGTGAGTGTGCCAGTGTTTTGTGACTTGCAATTACTGTTCGCAGGGTTGGTAAGTACTTTTTGAGAGAGCGTAAAGAGAGAGAGAGAGAGAGAGAGAGAGAGGAGCGCGACAGAGAGTGAGTAACAGAGACAGAGGACATAGCGCACTACTGGAAACAAATAAATTATGAACACAAAGCAAATCATAGCTGTAGGTTGGATAGGTAGCGGGTAAGCAGAAGCTACTTGTTTTTCGTTGGTTTTTTTGTCTGTTTGCTTAAATGTTGGTTAACAGAGTTTGTTTACTTATTGTTTAGTTAGTTTGCAACACTACTCAAAAACGAAACTGACGCAGGTGCTGAGGAAACTGGAACGGAACTGGAACTGGAACAGACGCTTTGTACAGAGGATTTTCACATTTTTCGATTTACCCTTTACAAAATTCATTTATAGAAAGTTAGCTGGTGGAAAATGAAGCTGGGCTTTAATAAACGGACATCTTGTAAATTAAGATACATTTTTGTTAAGGGTTTTCTCAACTCGGTTACACCGAAGTTTAATGATCATTCAATTAGTTTTATAGATCAGTATTGTTGCGGCATTTGCTGGGGGGATTTACATATCGAACGAACGAAGGAACGCAGAATTGGGGATCAACTTTTGGGAGATCCCTTTCACCGGATGTGGGACTGGCTTACCAGAGGTATGAGTGGCCTGATAAGCGCCAGTGTGGCCAGGCGTATATCTGGTTCGGCGACCACAAAGAACCGAACTCTGAACAATCCATAGCCCCGTTTCGTGGCAACCTTTTGGTTTTTCTTCTAAGAAAATGCATTTAGTATTATGTTGCTTTTAAAATTGTTCGTGTTTATATGCATATATTGTACATTATGTGGCTATTTATTAGGTATATATTTTTGTGGACTGTGTGTTCGAAATTTAAGTATGTTCCAAATCATATGTTAAATAGTTTTGACTTAATTTTGAGATACGTACCAATTGTTTTTTTGTGCGTTTTTTTAGAAACCCAATGGATGTTTTTTTCGATTTTAATTTTGTTGTGGATTATATATTTACGATTAACTTAAACGTGTGAACGGTGGCTAATTCAGAACTAATGTGGCAAATCATATTTAATTTTTATTTAATATGTATTTTGTGCGATTAACAAAAAGTTTTAGAACCTCTTGTATTGAAAATTGTAGGGGCACAGCTTGTTAAAAAATTGAGAGAATACTTTAAGGAAAGTATGGAAAACAGAAATACGAATTATGTTTTCAAATCGAGTATTGCTAAAAATATATATGCTATAAAATATAATCGCACAAAAAAAGAAAAAATTATAAAAATATTTAAAAAAATATAAACGAAAACAAAACTCGTGTAAAATCCAAACTTAAATCCTGTTGTGATGAATCATTGAATTTGGAAGTCCAGCAGATATAATCACAGAAATCTCTCTTGTGGCTGGGGGTGGTGGTGGCGTTTACTTATAAGTACAAGTACCTACAGTCGCGGTTGTTGTTGTTGTTCTTGTTGTTTTAGTGTGTGTTTAGGCTGTATGAGAACTGCACTCTGCACTTGACACCAATTGCTCTCGCCTGACACAACCATCGATTCACATACTTCAAAACTTGTTTTGCTTTGCCGAGCTTTGCCGACGATGCAGTGCCAATGTAAGTCAAATATGTGAGGTATTTGTGGGGTGGGGGTCGATCAAGGTCGAAGGTCGAGGATGGGGATAATGGGCGGGAGACTTACCTTGAAGAGGCTGCCACAGCTTATCCTGCGACTGGCGGCTGGGGAGCTGCTGAGAAAGCGCGCATGCTCCGGATCCAATGCCAATTGATTGGGATTGAAGCCGGAGTGACGGCGATCTTTGTCCTTGTCGAATTCACGAACGGCCAGACTGCTGGGCGCATGACTCGAATGCCGACGGATCTCTGAGGCATTCATGGCGCGAACGCCGAGCAACCCCGTGCAGGCCATGGTCAAGCCACCGCCACCGCCACTGCCACAGCCACCAGATGAACTGGCAGACAACATGGCAACGGCAACGGGCTTGATGCAGTCGCCGCGCAACGGTGTCGGCGGTCTGACAACAACACTTATCTGTGGATAGTTGGGATTTACATCATCAAAGGATTCTTTCTTACACGACTCATCAAAAGTAATGCGCTTTACATCTTGTCCATGGCCCGATTTCTTGGTGGGCGATGTCGATTTCATGTTGCTGGTCAAATTGCGCACAGCTGTCACAGAGTCAACATCGTGTATTTCTATTTTAATCGCCGTTTGTGGCGACAATTCATCCTCGCTCGACGGCATCGCCACCACACATTGGGGCGCATTCGTTGGCGTTTGTACTGTGGCAATATCGGTGTCGGTGTCTTCTTTATCGTTGGCTGGATTCGCATTGTTGCCTTCGTTGCTCCGTTGTTCTTGCATTAGCTGCTGTTGATTGGAGGATTGTTCATTGGTTGTAGTTGGTTTCGATTTTTTCAGTGAAGTGCGCTTTTTGGGACGCTTTTTGTTTCATTGAGAGAGTAGAGTTGATCGAGGATAGTAGCACAGGAGGCACAGGAGGATTTATATGTTGGTGGTGGTTTTGCAGGATTGTTTATAGTTTGATTTGAGGCAAGTTTCGTTTCGATTACACACGAACAAAAAGAAAAACGGTTGAAGAAAAAAGAAGCAAACGGAGAGCAACAAAGATTTTACCATAAGTGGCCGTGTCTGAGTACTTCCGATAACGCCATAGAATAACTCTACATATACTTAAATACCCTTTATACTCTATTTACAATTACGCACTAAAATTCGCACTAAACCCCCCCCCCCCCCCCCCCCCCCCCCCCCAGGCTAGGATCTAAGACATACCTTGAAGCTCTGACGCGCTATATCGTTACCTTCCACGAACTGCGCCAAACTGCAGTAGCGCGGCGGTTCCCTCATCTTCTGATCATCGCATCGATTGTCTATCTCAAAGACAATGTTCTCGAAGCCAAACTGTTGCGGATTGTCATCGCTATCCATCCGCGCGAGTCTTGCCATCCTGGGCGGCGAGGAGTTGCGTCTCCTTGGATGCGTTTGAGTGTGGGTCAAGGCGCTCAGCGACTTCTTGCGCGGCGGTTTCGGGGGACCCACGTGCTCCGAGCAGAGAGTGGTGGTGTCATCGGTTATGGTGTCCTGCAGGGCATAAGTTATATCGTGGCCCAGCACTGAGCTGATGTCGTCCATGATACTCTCGCCAGGCATGGCCTCCGTTTCATCGCTCGTTTCGGGTGAATCAATGTGCGTAAAGTTGCTCGCATCGAGATTCTATTACGGGGTAAGCCAATGAAAGTTGGATATGTGTGTTCATCATGCTCATTGGCATCCTTTACCTGTATAATGTCCCCCAAAGTCTGACCAGCATCTTGCTTGTCAAATATCTCCGAGGCCACGCTGCATTCCTCATTGCTTATGGCCGACAGGACATCGCTGGCCTCGCCTGCCATCTCATCGGAAGAGGATTGATCCTAGAAAGCAGTTGGGGAAAATAAAGAATGAATTTTATTTCGATTGATTCGAATGGCATTCCGCTGGATGATGGCAAACGTACAGTGGTGGTCTGTGCATCGGTATCAATGATTGTTAAACTTGCGCTTGAGTATACATTTTGGGAGTTGGGGGTAACGACAATGCCGGGTACCTGCAGATTACAAGTGTGTACCAGTGCCTGCTTCTCTGTAAGCATGTTGTCCTCTTTTTCCACATCTAAAATACTGCTCTCCTGACTCAACAGCTTCTCCTTCTCTTTTTCCTTTTCCTTTTCCTTCTCTTTATCTTTGGCGTTGTCCATCTCCCGGGTCATGTAATAGGTGCGCTCAAATACCTCTACGGGACGATAGTCAGAGAGAGGGTCCACCAGGGGCTCGCCTGTTATTATGGGCACTCGCAGGAAGTCCACTTTACGATCGGTGGGCGTGTTTTCGCCACCATCGCTGTTGGGCGACAGACGATTGCCAGCATCGTCAATGTTGGCCCCGCCACTAAGCGACATGCGCGCCATGCGATAGACTGTCTCCCCATTGGGTCCCTCCTCCATCTCTTGGATAACATCCACGCCTGAGCTCCTTCGACTGTCCGCAAATTGGCGAGGGGCTGGGAGATTGATGCTGTTGAAGAAGCTCTCATCCACCGAATCACGGCGAGTGTCCGGCAACGGAGAGATGCAGGTCAGGCGAGAGGTCTCCATTGTGGGGGATATAATATTGATAGGTGGTATTATGGGCAATGGTGAGCCACACGGCGTGGAGTCGCCAGATGTATTTGTTGGCAACTTGAGAGCCTCAAAAGGAGTGATCGAAAGCTTACGCTGATAGCGCTTGGGTCGTCCTGGCTCCGAATGCTCCACCACATTGTAGATGGCCCGCTTCACGCTATTTGCACGGCATTGGAGCGCCTCCTTCTCACTGGATCGCAAGGAGCGACTGTTGCGGCGTTCCTTTGAGTTGATTTGATCCTTTTCGGTCTTTTCGATTGATATGTTTGGGTTACTTGAATTTAAATTAGATCAAATTAAAGAAGAGAAAGTAGTAACCAAATGAAATGGACTTACAGTAAGGATGGATTGGCGCCCGGAGTGGATGGTATACTTCGGGCTATGAGGCTCCTTATGGTTGCTATCAAATCATCACCACTATGCGCACCCATCTCCTCCTCCTGCAGGGCATCCAGTAACATATTCAACTTTTGCTTCAGGATATCGCATTTGACGCTCAATTGTTCGTCCTCCTTGTGATGCTCTGAAATGCGGGATACCAGATCGTCGACGGTGTCGCAAAGGTTTCGTGTCGAAGTGATCAGCGTCTGGGTATCATTCGTCTCGACAATGAAGCGCAGATGGTGATTCGCCGAGGTGACCATACCAGTGAGCATGGCCTCCTGTTCCGTGGTGATCGACATTTTGGGTATCTTAGGGACTGCAATGGCCTTCTCGAAGACCATAATGCTCCAGCGATCCAGCATTTTGGTGCTGGCAGATTCATAGCGTTCCAGAATCTGCGGCAAGTGGGTGTCATCGTCGCAGCTGGAGCCCCAGCCCAAAACTCTTGCCAGATCGTTGCCAGTGCCCAACGGCATTACAGCCACTTGACATTGTTTCTACAGAGAACAGTTTAGGTATGATTTTTTTTCGAGGATAAATTATGTTTTTGGGGGACTCACATGCATGTTGAAACGATCGATTTCGCTTAAGACCCAACCCACGGAGCCATCGCCCGAGCACACCAGAATGCGAAACATCTCAAAATGACGAAAAAGTCGCAAGCCAAGACTGGGACCCGTGGAGATCAGATCAAATACCTGAGCGGGATTAAGAAGCTGCTTGAAGCGTCGCAGGAACTTGACGCCCTGATTGTCGCCGGACTTGGAGTTGACAAAGACGAGGAGGGGCGAGAAGTTGCCCCTGGGGCTGGCCACATCCCAGGCATCATCGGTGCTGATCGAATGCACACTGGTCGGCGGGACCACGGATAGCTTGGCCGGTCCAATGGGACAGGCCACCGCCATCTGTGGTCGACAGGCCACATGGCATGTGGCCCGGCACCAGAGGCACCTCCAATCCTGCAGTCGCAACACCGAGCCGCATGTCTTCTTGCATACGGCACACACGGCGGACACTGGCAGATTCCCCTCCATCCACTGATGCGGCATAATGATGCCATCGGCCTGCTCAATGATGTCCTTTCCGACACTCGCCAGCGTTGTCCACTTGCAGTTCGCAATCGATTTTGCCGCACACCGCTTATGCACCTTACACTTGCACACCTCACAGCTGAGGCCGTGTGATGTGACCCCGGATAGGGCATCCCTGCACACATTGCAGTAGGTGGGTCGCGCATGCGACGTGGCATACCAGTGATGGTGATTCGACAGGATGTCATGCTGTTCGATGAGAAAGCTGTCGCCACGCGGACGCTGCGGGGCCGTGGCCGTCTTCAGAGAGCCCAGCCAGTCCTCCATTTCCCGTCTGGATTCGGCGCAGAGCACCAGAGAACGAGTGGGTGTGATTATCTGTAAGAGAATATCTGATTAGTGACTGTAGAATCATATTATGAATAAAAGTAGATGTAAATGTAAATGATTTCTGTGTAGCCTCAACGGGATGGTTCTCTTATTATGGCATTGGCTTTAAGACAATTCAAATATTTAACAGTGCTAATATGCACTTAACATGCAACTGAAACTGGAATAAATATTGTACATAAACCATACCACACATGGTGTGTATACTTTGGATGGGGCCAGCTTATTAGTTGTGTAATCAAATGAGGGTTTATTAGTGTAGTTTCAGAGGAGGAGGGCTCATTAATATGCTAATGCTGTATTCCTGTTAAAGGATAATGCGCAGACAGCCAGAAAGCCAGAGACATACACGAATTCCAGTGCCAAGCCCCTAAGTAGGACAAACCGCTGTATAAGCCCATTCAAGTGTCCATATCATAACCAAAGCCCCACCCAACCCACAAACACGAGATTCGCAAGCATAATTAATATATCCAACCTTCGACCTTCAAAGGCGGGATGAAGGGAACCTTAGCTCCGTGGGTTACCTTAGCGGATTATGATGGGGCTGTTCTCTGCGCAAAATTTATGACGTACATGTCCTTCCGCTGGCCATATCCTTGCATACCTTACACAACACCGATATTTTCATTACTTTTTTTTTCCTCTTTACTCTCTCGCACAGTTATCGCACTTTGCCGTCAAGTTTGTTGGATAATAAGGTATTTTATTGACTTAATGGACTTCTGCCAGCTCGGCTGTCTAGACACGGTTAACTTATGGCTGTGTTTTTTCTTTACCCATTAGTTTCAGCTTTAATTAAGTTTCTACTTTTTTCGTTTGTGAGAGGAAGAGACAAAACGGTTTTAAATATTTAGAGGATGTGCTTTTTGAACCGACACATCAACACACATGACATGGAACCACAGAATACTGGTATTGCCGCTTCCAGTTGCAGTGAACTTAACCAAGAGCTCTGACAATGACCGGTTGATATGCCAATGTCAGGAGCTGTAACACGACAACCGACGACCTCACAGTGAGTAAAAAGAGAGAGAGTGGTTACGAGTGGAATGGAGACGACACAGAGTGAGAGAGCGAGTGCAATTGGCCCACCTTCATGTCATAAACCGCACAATGTCGGTCTCTGTTGTGACAGCAAAGTGAGCTCTCCGGGGCAATCGACTTGGGGCCAAAGTGGCGACAAGACTTGGCCACAAGCCAAAAGCAGAATCCAAAAGCGGACTCAAGCCGGAAGCAGCTCTATAGCTTTGAGGCTTTCATATTTTCTCCAATATATCATGCTTGTGCCCAGGCCAAAGGAAAGCCAGTGGCCGATGCTCCACCCCAAACCCCAAGTCGGAATCTAACCGCAACACTAATTGCATTTTAAACGCATTAATTACACACCGACTCTGAGTCTGAGTTTTGAGCTTGCGTGAGGGTTTTGTGGGCTCCTCCATCCTGCATGCACTGCTTCTGAAATTTGCAATCAAAAGTGGCCCGACACGGTCGAATGGATTCTGTTGCCACCACCGCCGATGCCGCCCGCCTGTGTGCATTTTCAATGTTGCAATTAATGTGCAACCACAGCCGCAACGCCATCACCCATCGAACCTCATCGCCTGCCTGTGGCATTTTAGCGACGTCTGCCTCTACATCATGATGGAGCCGCCTCTGCCCATGTCTGTCGGTTTTTCCTGTTTTTTCAATTAGTCTAATGTGCAATGGTTAAGTGATTCCCAAAGCACGTGCCTTGGGTCTGGGATGTTGCCTGTGGCACAATCCTCTCTCTCTCTCTCTCTATCTTTCTCTCTGACTTTGACATTTGCAACATGGATTTGCTTTTAAGCGTAAATCCGGCGCGTGCGGCCGACAATTACCCAAGCCCCATACATATATCCTTTCCCTTTGCCACAGGAAAACTGGAAAATTTATTCGAACTGCAACTGCATTTCATTTCCGATTTATTTTGGGGCCAGTTGAGGTTTATTCTTGTTGAAATGTGGGGCAGAATTTATTGGCTTAAGGTGGGGATTTTAGTTAATTTATTGGACGCAGTGCTGTATTTAAATTTAAATTTAACAACAAAATGAAAAGGTGTCCCTTCAGGGCATCTTTTATTCAAAGGATAAATTGCCCCTTCTCCAACTGCGGGTTTTAATCACATTTTCATATTTCATTCATGGTGCTTTCACTTTTTATGCCATGTCTGGCACCTTGGGACATCACCTATCGGCGTCGGAAACCAATCTGCGGGGTAATAAATTCTCGTTTGTTTGTATGTATGGACTTTTCGTCCTTTGTGTTGACCCAATCGGCAACGGTGTTTGATTGCAATTTTGCGCTTTTCTAACGTGTGTGTGGGTCTGCTACATGGCATTCGTCGTCATCGCCGCGGGTCTCCATTTGCAAACGGCAAAACAAAAAGAAAAAGAGAAAAAAATAGGGCAGAGTGCCCGTAAAAACAGGACACGGAACAATATAAAACTGGCAACGACAGCTGTTGCTAACTGCTTTGCCAGTGGGAGCGACCCAAAATGCAGGTCCCTAATTCCCCACTTCGAGCTAACATTTTACGGGGAAAAATATTCAAATATTCCAATAAATAAAATGATTTATGATCTCCTGAAATGCAAAGTGGTGTTCAACCAAGCGCAGCGGGTGCCATTCAAATAGAAAGGATCAAAACTTTTGAGCGATTAATTGCGTGTTGAAAAATCAGAATTAATTCAGATTAAATAAGGCTTTCACCAGTTCTTATCGGGTTTCCCTTGCCGTTTCCAATTGTCAATTTCAGCCATTAAGCATTTCTTGTGCGAAGGCTGTGTTGTGAACGTGTCACCGAAAATAATCGCATTAAATTTTCGGTTGGTATGTGTAATCGTAAATCGCCCAAAGCTATAGACACAAGCCGCAGCCTCATCTCGAAGGCTCAGCAGGTCGCGCTCTCCAATCACATAAACAAACAGAAACCAAACCGCTAAGACACATGCACAGTGGCCAGGATTATCATGTAAGAAAATGGTTAGAGCCCAGGCTGATAGTCAAATGAAAGGTGAAGCGCTTCTTCAACAAGAAGCGAAAGAGTACCTCTTGAAATATTTGAGGTGCAATGCGAAAAGTTGTTTCTGAGAAGTTGTTTAACTTTAAGTAAATATTTCTAGGGCGAATTTGAAATGTTCTGTAAAGAATTAAAGTTTGAAGAAGCTGACGCACATCCTTGAAGCATACCTGAATATTAAATGGGTGTTTTTCAAGGTAGAAGTGTACAATTTTAAAGTACTTTTAGGGAAAAAGTGTGCACCACTGTACCACTTCAAACCCAAGGCGACATATGCCAGAATTCATTAGGCCCAAACACTGAAGTGGCGCCCACCCAAATATTCATGACAAGGAGCAACAGAACGGCAGCAGCTAAAGAAGAAGCAACAACAGAGAAATTACGCATACGCCGCATTGTCCCCCAGCGAGCACATCAAAACCGTTTTCGTGTCTCTGTCAGAAACACGTCTTCTTTTTATACGTACTTATACATATATCTGTGTATACTTACCTATACATATGTATGTACACATATTTATGCATCTTCCTTGGCTTATTTCTGAATAAACTCCCCGAGAGACAGACGCACGCTCCCTTGCTTAGTTTTTTTATTATCACCGCAGAGTCAAAGGAAAAGAAATTTTAAAATTACTTTTGAAATTTAAATAGCCACCTTGGTGGAGAAACGCCTTTGGCTGCCTGACCAAAGTTTAGGATAGTATGGAAATTCAGTGGAACTTTTTCTAAAGTTCTTTTAAAATTTCTACATATTTTGCAAATTGCCGTTTTTTTTATTAAAAATTGTTGTCTTTAAGGACAGTTGAAAGTGTTTTGGGTGGGAAAACACTTGGAAGCTTTTCAATCATTCGTTTGTATAGTTGTTCATATGGAAATAGTTGTTAGCTTTTTAGGGAAGTACTTTATTGAAAAGTGCATCATTTTATTTTCCCTAAATGTTTTTCGTACAATTTTAAGTTTGGGGTGAAAATGTACTTAATTTTAGTCTGAATTGTATGCTGCAGGCTGAGATAAAATATATATGTACTTAGTTCCAACTTCTTAAGTACTCCATGAATAAGAGAAGCACTGCATTATTGCTTCTCAAATTAACTTATATCTGCTCACAGTCACAGCCTAATTTGCAAGTCTAATGATTTTTAATTGCTGAAATGAAAAGCACTCGAAAGTAAATTCTATTTATGTTTTATGAGCGAGCAGAGCTCATACTAAACGTTTTGTCTGATTTGAAGACATGCCGCGCATCTACGAGTATTCAGAGTTTTTCCAGGAATTGGCCAGGAACAGGAACACATAAACTCGACTAAAGCTAAGTACTTTGCCAAAGACTATCAACACATTTCCCTTGGCTTCGTTGTTTGGCAACTTTTTTCCACCCCGAGTTGCTTTTTTTTGTTTGTCTGCCACGAAACATTTATATGGCTAAAATATTATGACTTTTTTCTCTCTGTATTAAGAGAAATTTCAAAGTTCAAGGGCATGTGTGTCAGTATGTGAGGGGACAGGACAGCCTTCAACAGACCTTACGACTGAATACTGAGTACTGAGAACTGGATGGAAGAGTGTGTTACAATTACCTGGCACACACAACAAAAGGTCCTCGTGATTGTTTTTAAATTTTTATACATATTCCAGCCCCCAAGAGGTCCTGCCTTCCCACGAACCAACAAAAGAAAAACTAATAATCCAATGCTTGGCTTTGCATGCTTTTCATTTGGGCTTCCTTTTGAACATGTTTCTTGGAAAGCTAAATAAATGAATATGAATGTAAAAAGTGTACGATATATGTTGTTTAGTTTTGAAATTGAATTTGAAAATGCTTTCAACAGGAGATATGACAATACACACATACACATTCATTTATTAATTATGCTTATGCTCATCAATCTTTGTAAGCTAACCCATCCATAGAAGCCACAAAACTGCTGCAAATATAAATTTGGCAACCCTTAATTAAAACCAAAGCCCAACAAAGACTAATTGACAAAGAAAATGTCACTTGACATTCAACAAATTGGCTATATTCTTGGTAGAGCATTCAAAACTTTTCACACATTATCCCCCGACCACGCAATCAGTAGAAGTCTGATCCAAAATTGTTGACTCCAAAGTTGATGTTTGTCAAACAAGAAACAAGGCTGAATCCACCATTCAATTATGGAAATATTTGTGATTGTGGCCATAACTTTTACTGACTCCTCTGGCTTTCTGGGCTCTGGAAATCAATTAAGTTGTGTGTGCAAGCAGAGCAGAGTGAAAATGCTGCGCAATTTGTAAAAAGAACGAGTAATGTTTCGGCGGCAGCAGCTGCTCTGTGGACTGGCAGTGTGGTGCTCCTCTTAACAAGAGTTGGGCCCCACACAGCCTCCTTGCATAATTGATGTCGAAGAGACTGCTTCGATGTGTTTCATGTTCGTGGTGAAGGCAATCAATCAAGTTGATTGCTATTACAAATTCCATGAACCAAGAACAAGAAAGGAGCAAGCACTTGAAAATTGTTCGTTAAGTGGAGTGCGTAAATTATTGCTACCACGCCAGAATGTTCTTTGTTCCATCGCCTGTTCCACCCTGTGCCACCCTCCCTTCGATATGCAAATAGTTCAGTGGGTTCATGTTCACCCGCCCACACAAAACCTCTCTCTCAAGGTGCCAGTAATTTGAGTTAATTAGCAACCTAATTAGACTAACCGTAAATGCACTTATACATCAAGGTAAATGGTTACCTTCTGTGTCCCCAAGCCGATTAGCTCATTAAAATCTACTTGTTAGATGCAAACAATAATTGGATCTTGCACTCGAACAAGACGGTCATTATAATGTGTTTCCATTCAAAAGCCAGACAATGGAATAACAGAAATAACTTTCATTGCAAACAATACTTTTTTATGAATTGAAAGGGCAAAGTCTCACAAAATGAAGGAAGCTTTTTTAAAAATTAAATGTCAATGCAAATGCAGAATAAAAAGGAGATTTTGAGCCATTCTTAGATTTCCTCATCTGCCACTCAGCAGGGTTTCTATGAGAGCTCTTCAAAGGCATTCCAACAATGCATATTCGCCACGTTGAACGCCGTTTTGCAGCCATATAAGCCAATCCTAATGCAATCTGTAAACAACATGTTGTAAAATTGTAACATTGCCATTGCCAATGCCAAGTAAGTACAACTGTGAAGCACATTGGCAATCGTCTTGAGGCTTAAACGACATTGGTAAAGGGATTGTTAACAATGCGCTTACCGCTCGACAAACCTCTTATGGGTGTCGTATCTCTGTATGTCTGCGTGCAGAAGTTTGCGGCACGTGGCAACCAGAAGGTAAGTTGCCGCTTACGTGAGGTCTTAAATGTCTGACACAAAGTTTAAACGGCTTTCGAACGCGAAAGGAGTGTCTAAAATGTCATCTATTTACACTCCAGTGCATAGAAATACTATTTTTCGTCGTGGGGGGTTTTTCTAAGAACTGTTTTCCTCATATATATATATATCTTCATTGAATGTTGCGATTATTGGTATATTTGTGTTATTTTTTCCGTGATACTGACGACTGCAACGAGGCATAGATTTTCATGTTTGCTGCGGTTAACTGCCTCTGACAGGCATTGCCATTGACAGGATACTCGTCCACTCTTTGTGGGCGGTTCTTGTGCATAAAAATTGAAAGAAAAAAAACCTCTCTTGCCACCCATTGTTGTGGGTTTTTTCCCTGTTACGAGTATAAAACTTTAAGCAACACCAACCAGATAGGGAGTTTCCCACATAAAACTTTAAGCAGTGTGCGGACAGAAAAAGAGTCTCCCTGGCTTTAAGAGAATCCCTCAAAAGGAGAGTCCTTTAGATAACACCTTCACCAATTCCCCGAAGGCTGCTCAGATTTAGGAGCAGCAGATAAAAGACAATAAAAAACGATGATGGGCGTTGCCTTTAGCTAATAACATTTTCCCCAAAAAATGAGGAAAATCAGAAAGAGCAACAGCAAACCTTTTGGCAATTTCCTGAGCACGCGTACACGCTGAGTACGGCAGATTTATTATTTATATTATAAAGAGATATATAAGGATTTTTATTATTGGCCAGGTTCACGCAACGGAAACACCTATTCGGCGGCTAAACATTACATTTCCCCGAAGATCTCTCCTCACCCACACACAGACACACAAATGGTCTAATTTTTCGCATCAAATGTTGCGCATTCGTGTGAAAAGCTGAAAAAAGGCACATAATTTAAATAAATGTATAAGGAATACGAGCAGCAGACTCTGTTCGTGGCAGGAGTTTTCCTACTTATGCTAATTTGGAATGAATTTTGCTTCGATTTCTTTCGGGGCTTTCCCCCTTTTTTTGTTGTGGCTGCATTGATATCGTTTAAATATAAATAAAGAAAGTAACCTTAAGGTAGACCTAAAGGTTGATCTGGCTTTACCTGAGTGAGTAGTGATGAAAATCCGGAAGTGGCTGATATTTTTATTCTTACACACATGTTTATATATATAAACCGTCTTTGACAGCAACATTTTCTTTTGTTTTGCTTACTTATCCTGCCTATCACACACACTCCCTTGAACATGCTGACGAAGGTCGGCGGCAGGCAAATACAGGTAGAAGTTTGCCAAATTAATAGCTAATAAGTTGAAGTGAAACAGGTGGGCCGAATAAATTGCCAAACTAATTAGGCCGAAACACCTAAAGCCAAATAAAATATTTACGCAAGGCCAAAAATTGTTGTGATGGACCCAGGACCAACTTTTCGCATTACATTTTTATGGCTTTGTATTGTTAAATTATGTCTAAGAAATATTTCGCGAGTCTGCTGTGTCGGTACTTCTCACTTACCTGAAAACTATGATTTACGTTCTTGATTCCACACTCAAAATAACACAAGTCCGATAGGTCAATCTCATCGAAAACATCGCACTGTAAGAAATATATGAAAAATATTTAGATACAAAAATTGTTTTATAAATATTTTGGCAGAAAATTACAACCCTTTGTCAAATAATAAAATATTGTTTTTAATTTTTTGTTGAAAAAATTCGTTTGTGTTTCTGCTCCTTTGTTTAGATTTTTGTTCCTCTCTTTCTCTTTCTCTGCTGCTGCTGGCACATAGCCAAGCCCTGAGAAAAGAAAAATATGTATATATCTTCCGTCGTGTCTTCCGACTTAATGGAATGATTAAAGCCGGCCGCCGGCTATTTTGATGTGGCTCCCTGACGGCCTTGTTTTTTCCCCTTCCCTGCCCTGGACATGTATGCAGAGCATGGTGGCATCATGCCTTGCAGGTCCTTTAGGAAATTGAAATGTTTCACGCACACACACAAAAATACAAATACACATACACAGCAGAGCAGAGCGTTGCAGAGGCCGGCAGATAAATGGATATTTACGAGGCAACAAAAGCCAGCAACAACTGCTTTTGTCGACGCACCCAAACACATAATAGAAATGTGACAATGGGGAGGCCAGAGAACAAGGCAATGCCAATACAGAAACTCAGAACCCAATAGCCTCAGAAAACTCAGAAAAAAAAATCCTCGATCCCCAAGGTTCTCCTATGCTCAAGTAGTTTTTGAACATGCCGAAAATTGGTTTTCTTTTGACTCGTCGAGTGATTCAAAAAGTTTGATTTTGTTTGCGGCCCCCAAGGTAACAGAAGAAGACCCTCCACAGCAAGCCACTACTCGAAGGTAAGCAAACAAGTTTAGTCTTATTTTTGTACATTTCTGTTATTTATTTTATTCGCCTCAATTCCCATACCAATTAATATTGGATGATTGTTTGTAGAAAAACGAAAAACTTTAAGTGAGGTTTAAAATCAATTTAATATTGCGCAAAAGCCATGTGTGTGTGTGTGAGTCGACCTCCACTTTAAAGGCCTGTCTGCCACCGTGTAAAAGTATCACTAAGCACAAGGTATCTCTGTCTGTTCCGTTTTTCTGTTTTTCATATCTGTGTGCTCAGCCTTGGTATAATTTATTCATGGGAAGGCAGCTCTGTGGCGCTGTGTGGACTTCCTGGGAGCGCTGCTGTTTTTGCGGAATTATGTCAGTGGAACATTGCGAGTCTCTAGACTTATTATGACACCTAAGTACTTCAAATACCATCTACATTTCGTGAAGTTTCACGTATTCGAGGTTGCGGCATTATTCTGCTGTGTTTCTGGGTTTCCCATTGAATGGAAGGGAACCCTAATACCTGCCACAAATCCGTAATAAGTTGCTTTGGCGTATAATTGATTGAAAACACAGCCATCACTCAAAGTCCCTGAGTGGATGTGTACATGCATTTGCTGTTCGAGCTGGAGGGAGCAGCTTAATCCGCCAGAGTGAGCATTAAAATAATTAAACTTATACATAAGCAAACCAGCAAACGCAAGGGCTTGCACACACACTTATGTAAATATGTATGTAAGTACGTTTGATTGTACGTACGTGCACAGGAAATGGGGGAATATTACCAACCATATTCTCGTCTGAATGATGTGCTTCTTCTTCGCAGCGGTGGCTGTCAGGGCAGCAATCGTTAAAAATCAGCAAGGATTTCGAGTACTTTCAGTACTCAAATGGTTGGCCAGGTCTCCTCCATTTTGAGCTTGAGCTGCTTTAATACACTTTGCAATGGATTCAGTGATTTTTTTATAGAACAGCCAAAGGTCTGTATTGTAAAAATGGCCGTATCCCCATGGCTGATTAAATGTGGAATGACTTCCAGCTCTCATGGAAAGAATGATTACTCTTTCGGAACTTTATTTCAAGTGTATCTAAATCTTCGACAAATTCTCTTTTCTTGCCACTCTCTCCAATATCTGTATCTGCTCTCAACAGTCTCTTCGTTTTCCTGTTTGCTCCGCGTTTTCCGCACTTGTTAAATTAAGTGAGTCCCAGACATTTTCCGCTTGAAAGGATATCTCAAATCTTTAGCCTACCGCCGGCACAAGCGGCACAAGTCTTTCCCTTACCGGGATCTCATTAAAAGCCCAAAAAACGCAAAGAAATATTTGTTCAGCTCTGTTCTGTTCTCTTCGGCTGCGTGTATGTTTGTTTGTACATTTGATTATATTCAAGTGTGGAAAATCAATAAAATAATTATAAAAGCAAACTGTAAGAAGGCCGTTGAAATTTTGAGTGGAAAAATACAACACACATTTGGGGAATTCGGGGAGACCCTTTCGTGTTGTGTGTTTGTCTGGTTTCCTCTGGGGGTCAATCACAGACATCACATTACGGAAAATTGCTAATTTTCTCTGTTATCGGCTTCGGGCTTCGGTTCCCCAGGCATTAACCCAACTTTGATTGCATTATACAGAGATTTTTGTTGAAGAAAAACTGCCTCAAATAATCATTAATTTGCGCACTTTCAAGGGTTTTATTTTTTGTTTGGGTCTCTGCCACCTGGCGCACAAATACTTTTCCTTTTCTTGCTTATTTACTCATTTCTTTTGCCTTTTCTTTTGGTTTGTGTACAGCTTGCAGAAAACTTTTCTGTTGTTGCTGGAGGCCATTCATATCAATTTCTTGGCATTACTTTCGTCTTGTTTGTAGGGGGGAGGGAGGGACGGGTACCCTTGGCCATTTTTTGCACGGCAAATCACTTAATGGCTAAAAAAGATCTGGCAGTCATTAGAATTTAGTATATTTGCGCCTGCGAAACTGCTGACTCGTTAAGCCTCCAACTAATTGAACACCGTTCTTTGTACAGATTTGTGCAGGTTACTCAAACTTTAAGTAGGACAAAATCAGATAAAAACTTCAAGAAAAATGTCTTGAAAAATCTTTGAGCAACCCTCATTTCCACATATATATCAGATTGAAGGGTAGTCTTCCAGACGCATCTCCTTTCCATCAAACTTCCGTACTTCTGCCTTTCTGCGTAGTTCCCTTTTCTCTCTGTCGATAAAGTTGTTCCTTTCGAAATGCCACTTCAGGCAAAGTTTTGTTCGCAATTGCATTTCAACTATTTTCAGGCGGCTGAAAACAAGGCAAACGTTAAAGACATTTGCGCTGTGACTTTTCCAAAGTCCTTTTTGCATCTTTCCACTCGAGAGAAAAGTTTTCTCTAAGACAAATGTGGGAAACATTTGCCTGGCGGATTCCCAAATGGGACAGGGACATGGCCTGGCCATGGTCCCCCTCTCTTTGACATTGTAATGATGGCGGGGTATAATTTGTATTAAATGGCTTTTGGCTACACTTCCAGGCACATTTTATGGGGTACGAGATTCTCTTTTGGTGGGTAGGTGGACGGTGTCGTGTTGTAGGTGTCTGCGGGGGCGTGCCACGTTTCATTTGGCGTGTCGGAGTTGAGCAGCTTGAAAATTTTGACATTTTAATGGCATAACTTGGCGGCCGCACCCCCAAAAATACTCAAATACACCACACCCATCCACTCACATTCACTTCCTGTTGCCTTCCCAGACCTCGATCCAAATTCTAGTTATTAATGTGCCATAACATCGGCATCCCAGCCATCCCCTGCTGTGTTCTGCCGACGGAGGCTCCTCACATTTAAATACTCGCAAATGTTAATGTCCTGCAAGTGGCTGGTCCTTTCTACATACCACCTTCCTTTTTGGGCCTACCCTTGATATACATATACAATATTCTTAATAAAGCATTGCCGCTGGTGCCATAAATTACCATCTCAAGACAAAATTCTATTTTAATGGAGAATATGGGACATAAATCAGAGCCAGACCCTAAGCCTTCGGGTAAACTGAACATTTGGGATTAGAAATTTTGGAATTTGTAATCAAAACATGGTGGATCCAGTGGCTATACATTATTGATTGTTTTACTAGGGATACAGTGAGGGAGAATTATCAAAAATAGCAATAAGTATTGTTCGGAGCCTTCTGGGAACACTTTAAACGCATTCATCAACAAATTCCTTTCAGTGTACACATATTCACGCCTTACAGCACGCCTACCATATCATCCGCACAAGCAATTACTTGTGACCCACTCATTGCGAAATGAACATTTTCCACACTGTATGCGTTTCCCTTCTTTTTTTTTAAACAAAGCCCCAAGCCCCAGCCAGCAATTAGAAGCATTTAGTCTGGTTGTACGTACTGGGTGTTCTGGCTGGCGGTATGTGGCACAGAGGGACCTGTACAGGGCACAGTGCCAGCTGTGTAACCTACTTTGAGAGCCTGAGAGCAATTTGTCACGGGGCTCAGAACGAGACGGCGATGGCGGCCTCGAAACAACTGCTGTGACCTGATTCAGGACCACAGATGGCGGAACATAGGAGTTGTTCCTGCACCTCCATTGGCAAGCGACAACCGACAACCGACTGGCTGACAATAATTGTGATTAATAGCAAAGGGGCGTCATCAGCGAATATCTTTTTGGAGGTCATTCCGATTCGATTCGCTAAGTGGCGGTATTGTGGCTCAAATTTAGGCATTAATGACAGTCACACACGTTAAGTATACGCCTCGCAACAAAGAAGAAAAGGAAAAAAAGAACAGCAGATCCCTTTTTTATTGGAATTTATTGGCTTATCCTCTGGCAGACCGCCAGTGTGTTTTCCATCCATTTGCATTCGCATTCTAGTGGCCCATAAGGACTATTGTAGTACATTCAACTTTTGGTTCTTCAGTTTCAGCAGAAAATGCTGCATAAATAACACTTAAGTAGTGCCCGGCAAGGCTGCAGCCAGAAAAATAAGACATTTAAGCTTTCATTCGAGTGCCTCATATGTTTTTCGTTTGTCTTTTCGGCTCTTGATATGCAATAAAATGCTCGAATGCTTCCATTATAATATTTCTCAAAAGGATTCCACTTGATTTTGCGTTTTAAAGAGCTTAACAATGTGTGCAATAAAATAAAAAATGTGAGAAAATGTTTTATTAAATGAATTTCAGACCAGGATAAGCAAAATAAATACTAAAAGAGTTTGCTGCGAATTTAATA